GGGGACTCTACCTGCCACCACCGTCCCCAATCCACGTGAGCCGCTCCAGCAGCTGGATGCCATCTTTACCAGCAGAAGCAAGACCATTACCGCTGATCCTGCCCCAGCCAGGCAGGGAGAACCTCTACCTGCTTCAGCACTTCCAGCCGATGATGCAAAAGCGCGGGTGGAGATGTAAGCCCCTGCTCCTAAGCCACAACTAGTGGTTAAGGAGCATGTGCCCCAGCTTCCCTTCCCCACTCGCCTACATAAAGATAAGCTAGAGACTGAGTTTGCCAAATTTATGGCAATGTTGAAGCAGCTCAACATCAGCGTACCATTTGTGGAGGCACTGTCGAAGATGCCCAAGTACGCAAAGTTCATGAAAGATCTCCTCACCAACAAGAAGAAACTTGGGGATCTCTCGACAGTGCTGCTGAGCGAGGAGTGTTCTGCTATCCTGCAGAATAAGCTGCCCGAAAAGCGCAAGGACCCAGGGAGTTTTACTATCCCTCTTACTATTGGCAGCATGCATGTAGGCAAGTCCTTGGCGGACCTAGGCGCTAGCATAAATGTCATGCCATATAAGTTGTTTAAGAAGCTAGACCTAGGAGAACTTAGCCCTACTAGGATGAGCATTCAGCTAGCTGATCGTTCCGTTGTGCATCCTAGGGGTATCATAGAGGACCTGCTTGTTAATGTGGGTGCATTCACATATCCTGTTGACTTTGTTATTCTGGATATAAATGAGGATGTGGATGTGCCTTTGATTTTAGGGAGACCATTTCTTGCCACCGCCAAGGCACTTATTGATGTGCATGATGGTAAACTGATCCTGCGTGCTGGAAATGCACAAGCTACCTTCTCTGTGACTGAGTTCGATCACTGTGCTATGATTGCTGTCACACCGATGCATGCTATTTCTGACCAGGTACACGAGCCTGTCGTGTATCCTTCTGCATCTCCCATTTTGCAGGACCCTCCTCTCACTCCTTCGCCGCCACTCCATCCAGCCTCACCTCCGAACAAAAAGATCAAGGAGGAGTGGCGGCCGAAGCAACAGGTGGCTAAGCCTGCTCGGAAGAAAGGTGGAGACCACTATGAACTGGTTCCACCTCCTGCAACACGACCACCTTGGCCATCCGAGTACTCACTCGCTTGCATCTTTCCGGATGGCCAGGTCGAGCTGACCAATGTTGGTGGTTGCACCTGTCGGGTGCACGGTCACCACCTGAAGCTGTACCTCAAGAGCGATGTGGATCCGCTCTTGGAAGCACCTGTTCCTGTACCACGCTGATTATCCACCATGGGCGTCCAGCTACAAGACGGTAAAGAAGCGCTTGTGGGGAGGTAACCCCACCACGGTTTTCATTTATTTCTTTTGTTTTGGGTCGGATTGCCAATAGCTTTGGCTTTGATTTGTTTTCTTTTGTTTTGGATGATGTAATATTGGGCTGACCAGTGGACCTAACGTATTGTGTTGGAGTTCTTTGGTTTCCTTTAGCTGTGCTTGTGTTCCCGACTGGTCCTCTCTCCAGTCCGCTTCACTTTGACTGGTCCATTTCCAGTCTCCTGCAGTCCGTGCACACCGGTAACATCGTTCACCTTTCCTTCCCTCTTCTCCATTGAGGGCAATGTCGACCTTAAGTGTGGGGGGGTTGTTTATCTTTTGACTGCATTAGATCTGTTTGTGTGCTTGGAGCCTAGTCCACTGTCCAAATTTTTAAATTTGAGGGCTCCAAGTACGTGTTCCTTGCAATTGCCTGCTCAGTATGCTTTGAATTGACAGTCTCTATAGTAATATGCAACCTAGGGAGGTAGTGTAGCACTATGGAGGATGTTGATGCATTTAAGAAGTTTCGTTTCTTCTTCATATTGTGTTGGTTGATTGAGTGAATTAGTGATCTTAGGACCCTTGAATTGTGTGGTGTTGTGGACTCTTTACCTGTCATGGACTCTTGTATCATGTTTAGAAAATAACAGGTGCTCGAAAATGTGCTATAAATTAACGTCTCCCGTGCGGATAGGGCGAAAGTGCGTAAGGGGAGACGGGGCACGAGGCTCGAGACACCCGCTCCTGGCATGGCCGGTAAGAGTCGGGCTCCCTCAAAACCTTTGCTAGGTGGGAGCCCCCATTTTCCGAAAAAACAGGTTGGAACCCTTGAAAAAAAAGAAAAAAAACAGAAAAACAAGCAAAAAGAAGAAAGAAAAGGGGTTCCAACCATCTTCAAGAAGAAAATCGAGCACCTTGAAAAAATGTGTGTCCATGATCTTTTTTTTAGAGTCTTTTCATCCACGACTCATTTGTCCTCTGTTCACTATTTGCCATGATGCCGACTCGAGACTAGTGCTCTCGCCGAAGAAGCTATGAGATGACTTGTGCGTCGGTTGACCTCGTAAGATGCTAAATGATCTAGGAAGTCCTCTACCTACGATCGGGGTTGTTTGTTGCTATAGAGGTATGGAGAGTTGCATTGGTTTGAGTTAGGTGTGGGGGAGTTTGATAGACCGATAATTACACATGTTTTCACCCCTATTCTGAAGCCGTTTGAGATGTTGATTCTCGTGTTTTAAGCCGATTTCACGCTATGTTGTGTGTTTATGTCATATTTCAGGACCCGGCGTTGGAATCGAGGCGGAGAAACGAGTTCTGCATTGAAAGGAGCAAAGTTGGGACGAAGTGGGCTGCAGGAGGAAAATACCCGGTCAGGTGGCCAAATACCAGACCGGGTATTTATCATTTTTGGGCGCCCGTGAGAAACAGAAGGGGGCCCGGGCAGGAGGCTTAAATCCCCGGTCGGGGATTATTGGAGCAGACTGGGGATTTTCCCCTAGCATGAAACGCGCGTTTTGAATATACCCGGTCGACACCCAAAATACCCGACCGGTATTTCGACCGGGTATCGCGACAGGCAGCAGATTTAAGGGAAATGAAGGCCAAAATTCAAGGGTCCCGAGTTTTAGAGAGACAGAGCGATTCCTAGAGAGAGAAAGCGACGAACGAGAGTTCCCAAGTGCCATAGCTTGATCTTCATCACCATTGGAGCACGGCTTGAGCTTGGAGAAGTGCCGATTAACGTCCAGAAGCAGAAATCCATCTTCACAGTATGATTTCCGTGTCTGAATCTGTTTTTGCTTCTCTCTCCATGGAGTAGTTTCCCCATTCATCTGGGTATGGAGAACCCTAGATTTGTATGCTAGGTCTGATTGTATGAACCCAAGTACAGAGTTTATGAATTGATTATATTCGATTGAGGTTTGAATGATTGAATGACTTGAATCCTGATCAAATTCTTGTTGTTTCTGCTTTGACCTAGAATGAGAATATCTGCCTAGGTTGATAGAGTATCCTTAATTGAAGGTAGTGAATTGGCGACTTTAGTCGAGGAGCCAATTCGCTATTCTATATCGCATTCAATTCGGTAGTGGAGGTTTGGTTCGTTAGGGCCTCAGTCTGTTTACTCCGGTGGAGGTTAGTCGCCCACTAGAGACTCAGATTGAGAGGGTCTGGAGACCTTTAGTCGAGACTTCAGACTGTTTTAGAACCTTCCGCAGTATAACTTTCATGAAAACTGAACTTGGTAAATTGTAATCCGGCTTAACTGCAGTCTAGGGGGAACCATATCCGGGTGACCTCTCTTGACTTGAAAACAACCGTTTAACTTGCTTTGCGTTTTTGTTTGTTTGAACCTGCACTAAAGTTTCACTGCTAGATAACAAGAATTCACCGAGTAGTCATCAAATCTAAGACCCGGGTTGACATTAAAACCCAAACCCGCTATACTACGCTTTAGGAAGTGGTTACACTTGGCCATTTTCTAGAGTGACAGTAGGAGTGAGTCATCTACCATGTGATGATATATGTGATGGCGGCAAGGCAACCCTCCTTGGTTGACATCACACGAACTTGCTTGGGGGTGAGTGGCGAGGTACTTGGTGTTGACATGAGTACTACAAGCATGTGTGGTTTGGGTTTGTTGGGCATGTCTATCTGTCTACTGTTTCTGATTGATGCCATGCCCCCATGTCGACCATTCATGGGTGACATGTTACAAGGGGCCTTGCCTCCTTGTCCACTCTTTGACACGTTGTCAAAGTTATGAAAATCATGGGTGACATGGGTACGCAACACCCGCTTAGACTTGCCACTCACCATATTCTTCATGTTTGATGACATGCCCTCCTGTCCACTGCATGAAGATGGAGACATGCCCCCCTCGCCACACTTAGCTACATTAACATTCTTACTAGAAACACATGTGGCTTGGGCCTGTTGTGGCTTCTTGGGCATAACTATCAATTTACTGCTTGTGGTCGATGACATGCCCCCCTGTCTAGTGCACGAAGCTGACGGCATGCCCCCCATGCCTTCCTTATGGAAAAAATATGGTGTTCTATTGGACAA